TGCATGGGTCGACGCTCAACCACTGAGCCGCACCGGCTGAGTACAGCTTTGTTCTTAATAAAGCAGAAACCTCTACATTCCTCCCCCCGCAAAAGGCAAGCAGCAGCTTCAATTGGACTACAAAGTCAGAAAAAGACTTTGTTTTACACTTTTTTTCTTTAAACAGGAAGAAGAAGGGAGGGTGCACAAAAAATACTTTAGTACACGGAACCAAAGATGTGAGAATCAGGGCCCACTACCTTGCCCCCTACACAGAGATTCCCACCCCAGAATTACCTGAGTTCAGTGATGTACCTTACTCCAAAGTCACTCATTGTTCTTATATCGCATCCAAGTAGGAATAAAGGGACAAGAACTGTCACCACCCTTCTTAAGGATGAATCACTTATTTGGTAATCAGTGAAAATCAATAGGCTGGTCTGGAAACCGGTTTACACTACCTCCCACCTTCCTTCTCCCAACTGCACTAGGTATGAGATACAGGTTTGCCATCTCCCTCAGTGAGAACCATCCTCTCCCTCCCCTGCCAGCCTAGACTGGCTGAAGCTGATTTCTGATGACTGGGCAGTCAGCTAACAATTTAAGAAATCAAAACTGCCTCACAAGCCCTGAGGATAACTTAATGTCCATCCATTACATAGACAGAAAGATGACCCCAAGTGTGTGTTGTCCTAAAGCAAACTTTTAAAGGTAGCCCTGGGCAAGAGAGGGGGAATAGCTCCAGGTTTTAGTTCACAGTAGAGCAGGGAAGGGAGGAACAGCGGATGGAGATCCCTTGAGTAACATTTCTCAAAAGGTGGTCTGTAGAAACTTATTTCATGAATGCTCCTGGGGAGGAGTCGGGTAGATTAGGGCTGGGTAGGGCATTATGCCAGTCCTAAAAGACTTTGCCACCAAAATGGTACAAAAAGCACTCCTTTCCCACCCTCTCCAACTACAGTCCCAGTGAAAATTAGCATACTAAAGTTCTGAGAAGTCCCACAGTAAAGAAGAACATGACTATGGAACAACCATAAGTAATAATTCACCTGCTTTACAACTGCGCTGTCCAGTACAATAGTACTCTAGCTACATGTGGTTACTGAGCACCTGAAATGTGGCCACTCCAAATGGAAACAGGATATAAGTGGGAAAATATACACTGGATTTCAAAGGCCTGGCATGAAAAAAACTGTAAAAATATCTCCATTTTTTATACTGATTATATATAATGAAATCACTGTATTTTAATTCTATATTAAAATAACAATATTTGGGGTGTATGGGGTTAAAATTAATTTCATCTGTTTATACTTTTTAATATGGCTACTAGGACATTTAAAATCAGGTATGTGGCTCACATTATATTTCTATCGGAGAGTGCTTCTTTAGAAAATGCTAGGCTATTGCACAGGCTTCAACACCTCAGCTATTCTATATTATTGTGGCATTTGTGCCACATTCATTTTTCTCCTGAAAGAGAGCCAGTATACCCCAGAACTTGGGACAGGTGAAAAAAGCATCTGGACATTTGGACTAGGATGTATATCACAGCCCATCTATCCCTGGCTAGTGTGGCTAAGTGGTTGAGGGTCGACCCATGCACCAAGAGGTCGCCAGTTCGATTCCAGGTCAGGGCACACACCCAGGTTGTAGGCCCAATCCCCAGTGGGGGGCAAACAGGAGGTGGCCAGTCAATGTTCTTTCTCATCGATGTTTCTATCTCTCTCTCCCTCTCTCTTCCTCTTTCGCTAAAAATCAATAAAGAAAAAAGACAGCCCATCTAGTAATATGTAACCCCAAAGGTATCAAGGAATGAGGGAGATATTTCTTAGAAAAACCGAACATCTTTCCTTTTGTGTAATGAGAGAGAACTAGCTCCCTTTGCCTTCTGTTCCATGACTCTATCTGTAAAGTTATCATGCTAAATATCATGCTAAAGACTGAATAAAATTGGAGTTTAGTGACTAAAATCATTATGTGCAGGGACTACAGAGGAAGACAGAGGTTCCCTCAGGGACTGTCCAGGAGGGTGCTGCTCAAGGCCCACTGGGTTATTCATTTATTATTCTATAGTAGATTCCACTGTCTTTCACACTCACTCCATGACTTTGGGTGACCACTTCACCTCCTTCCTGTGAAAGGGCAATAGGTAGATGAGCATCTGCAGTGCTTTCAGAAGTCTGTGGCACAGGCCACATAATTTACTATCCCAGTCAACTCATGAAATGGGGTTGGTGAAAACTTACTGGAGAACTGGTTGTGCGACCAAACAAGTCACCTGCTTTGTGGTTCAGCTTCCTACGTTCTAACAGGAATAACAATGCCCATCTTACAAAGGAATCTGAGGATCAAGGGAAAACTGAATGCCTAGCATGTTGCTGGCACTTAAGCAAACACAATTTCTCTCCAGACCCTTCTCTACTCCAGGTTTCAGTCATCTTTGCCTTAAAGTTTGGGACTGGACCTAAAAGTCTAGTCCTTTCTAGATTTAAAATTGAGGAATTAAGTAGTACAAATTGGTAGCTGCAGAATAGCCACAGAAATGTAGATTACAACACAGGGAATATAGTCAATAATATCAAGATGAAAAGGTGTGGGGCCAGGTGGTACTTGAAGAAGTGGGGGGACCACTCTATAAAATATATGATTTTCTAACCACTTTGTTCTACATCTAAAACTAATACAGAATAATATCTAATGTGAACTGTAATTGAAAAATAAAATTTAAAAATAAAAGATAACAACACTGAGAAGCCATATGTATGGTCAGTTGTTGTAAGGCGAATATAAGAGCTCAGGAGATCTGTCACACTATGACAAGAAGTGGGTTTTCCCCTTTCTGGACTTTTCTTCTCAGAAGTAGTAGTTCACTAGTATTAAGTGTCCACTGTAAAGTGGCTGTTGTGTCCAGTTTCCTGGCACCTGAAAGACAGCAGACTGGGAACGCCTGAATGTGAGTGCCAGCAAAGGGTTTCTCAGGGTCCCCCGGAATCCAACATGCTCTGGCAGCGACTGTCCTCCCTGGGAATGGCACCACTGTAATATGTCCTAGCCTTTCATTATTGAGGCTCAATTCCTGTGCCTTGCCCACTTCAGGTCCTCAAATAAAATCATTTGCTGTCTTTAATGATGGATTCCTCTCCTTCTTCAGGTCTGGCACCTCAACTTATAAGAAACATGATGTCTTCTCCATCCTTAGACCAGAGGCCTCTCTCCTTTCTCCATTCTGTACAATTTCTCTATATCCAATCATTCTGTCAACCCCACAGAGGGAGCTCAAGGGAGCTCTGAGAAGCTGAATCTACTGTTAAAATGCCTAAAGCTGCCTAAGTAGTGTCAGGGCTACATACTCTTGGACTAAAAAAGGATGCAACAAACAGAGACATATTTGGAATGGCAAAGTTTTTGGATGGGTTTCAAATGGATCACAGGCATTAGGAAACTTATAGTCGTTGACTATTTCGGCCCAGGCAAGTCAGAAAACATCAATATTTCTAAATGTCTATATAAATCAACAAGTCCATTACCAAGTCATCTACCTCAGTACTCAGGGGCTATGGAGCTAAATGAGGTCAGAATCTGCATCCTTCCAAACCCCAATCTGTAAGCCAAGGCCCATGGGGGAGACACTGAACCTCTTAGCTCCTGAAACAGCTGGGCAGCAAGATGCCTTGGGTCCAATCCCTGAAAGCAACAAGCTGCATCCACTCTCCAGACCCCAAATCCTCTTCCAGTCAAACCCCAATTTAGAGGCATTCATATCTTAAAGCCCAAGGCTACCAGAGAAGGAATGGAGAAACGATCCCAGGGTCTTCCCCTGGCTTCCCAAATAAAAGTGACCAGTTTCTCTTCTGACCCCAACATGCCCCCTCTATGCCCCATCATAGCACAGATCAAACCAGTATCACATCTGTTTATTTCCTCCACATAGCTGGATTCCTTGGACCCCCAGGGCCTATCACTTAATGCTCAACAATGTGAGTAGAAATAGAAACCTCTACTGGGCTAGAGCCATACCTTCTCAAACCACGGTGCACTGTGAGCTGGGATAATGCAAAATCGCAAGATAAACAAGGTGGATTTTTCCTAAAGTTCAAGCTTAAAACATTTTCTTAAGACACTTGAAGGAAAAACAAAATTCACATGGAGTTTTCAAATAATAAAGTAGTAGTCTTGTAACAGGCTGGCAACTTCCAAATTCAAGGCTCTGCCCCAGACTGCTGGATGTACACTTGTCCTATCCTTACTGCTACAGGTCCCTGCCAAAGCCGAGAAACCCAAGAAGCTCTGGACTCATATGGGCCCTACTTTGTGAGAGACGGAAAGCAATCTGGCAGGGATCAAACAAAACAACAACAAAACAAAAAACCAAGCTAATCTTGCCCAAACGACTCAGAAGAACATGCTAAGGACAGGAAAAGGAGCCCTCTTCCATTACAAGCCTAGGACATTCCATGATTAGGCTTGTAGGAAAACATACTTTTTAAAAGCCTCAAACAGCGTACCATGGCTCTTTTGCGCCCCAAGACCCTTGCTCCTTTTCTGGAATGGATGCCAACAAGAATCTCGCGCTTCTCGCCTCCACGAGTCTTTGCTTGGCTGCCTGGGCAGTAAACCGTTAATGGCTCTCGACTAGGTCAACAGTCATCAGAAGCACCGCGAGGACGGAAGCCCGAAGCCTCTGGAAGGTTAGCCCTCGTGCGGGAGTGCAAACACCTGCCCCACCGCCCCAGAGGGGCTTCCGCACTCCACCAAAGGGCTCCTAACAGGCCAGAACTTTCTGAACTTTCTCCACCCGCCCCCACCCCCCCACCCCCGCCTTCAAGGCTCTTGGCCAACCTGGTCCCAAAGAAGGAGCCGAGTGGCAGGGCAAACATCCTGAGAGGGAAGCGGGGTTGAAGCAGCAGCTCTTTCTTCCTGAAGTACCTTCAGGAGCCGCGCCAGGCACCAGCCAGGCCCCTGGGCGGGCGGACACAGGGACACACACCCCTCGGCCTGGAGCCCGGGTCCGCACTCACCTTGGCCGACGTCTCTCCGAACAGAGGTCTGTTGTCCAGACCACTGGTGCCGTAGGTCCTTGTGGTAAAGTCCTCCATGTTGGGGTTTCTTCACTCTCCCCAAAGTCACTCAAAACCAAGCCAGCATTCCCTCCCGCAGTCTCGGGTCGGGGCTCCCACGCCGCCTGGTCACCGGGCACACATAGCCGAACCCCAGGTGCGTGCGGAAGTCCCCGTGGGGGCGCTCAGATCCGGGGGACCAGACAGCTCCGCCCCAGCCCCGCTCTCCTCCTCATCTTGAGCAGCTGCCGAAGGAAGTGAAAGGAAACACCTTTGGCCGACTCCCCGCAGGACGCCCCCGCCCGGGCAGCTCCCACTTCCCCAAATCTCGGCGCTCAGCCGCGGGGCAGAGAGCTAGCCGAGCGCAGCGGCTTCCCCTCGGCCGCCACACGTGACCCCCACCCCTCTCCCCGGCCCACCCCGAGCCCCGCGAGCGCGCAGACCTCCGGGCTCCGGGGGAAAAGTTTTCCTGGGAGAATTCATTACAAGCCCCTCTCCAAGCCCTGTGCGCCTTTTCACCCCGCCCCACCCCCACCTCCCCAGCGGCGGGAGAAGTGAAGTTAGTTGCCCGAGCGGAGCCCGGACCCCGCCCGCAGCGCTGCGGGTGCAGGCCCAGCAACTTGGACCCCCCTCTTTGTTGCATTACCCGCGGGCCGGGCGCCTGCCGCTGCTCTCCTCGGGCTCTCCGGCCGAAGCGGACAGGACAGAAGCCGCCTCAGCCCCGCACGGATTGGTCGCCTCCGGAAAACCCCGCGCCGCTCCCGCGCCCGCAGGCCAAACCTCGGCGTCCCCAGCCGCCTGCACGCTGGAGAGTCCTGGCCGAGCTGGGGACCAAGGGTCCCAGGTCCACACCCGTGCAGGGATTCGGTGCCCAGGCCCCGGGGGCGGTCAAGAAAGAGATCTATCCAGCTGGCAGAGAGCCGGCACTTGGTCCCCGCGCTGCGCTGCAGGGTCCCCCTTGGATCCTCCAGCCAGGACCCGCGGCCACTGTCGCAAACCGACTTGGCCCGCCCAGGCCACGTCACGGCCGAGGCTTCCAATCCCAGGTGCCAAGACGACGCATTGGCTGCAGAGCTTTATTTCTAGAGGTGCCAGTTTATTCCCCGTGGGACGGCCAGTCTCCCCCGCTGCATGTTTCTTAGCCTCTTAGCAGTTAGCATCTGCACGAGCCACATGCGCAAAGAACATTTCTGAAGATAGCTTTGCATTTGGCTAACAGCATCTTAAAAATAACGAGCCTGCTTTCACCACAGCAGTCTTTGCCAATAGGACGCAATGGGGTCATTGATAAATTTGGATGAGGATATGGATGTCTTGTTTTACCTGTGACAGGGATCCTATATCTTTTACAGAAACAGTCGGGAGGTAATGCGTGCCAGGTGCTTCTTCAACTTGTCCACTCATCCTTATACTGCTGGTGCTGACTATGCGTGTTCGCTGCCACAGAGAACGCCTGTCAACCTCTTCACTTCTTAGAGTACAGAGAACTGGAGGTGGACAGGCCTCATAGACAACATAGTGTCTCTCTGCATTTGGAGTCATTGATAAGCATATGAAACAAATGCAGCCAGCTTCCCTGGACACCACAGATCCTAGATTGAAGAGAGCTCTAACAATGTTGATGTTCACAGAGAGCCAATGTTGGCACGTGTAGCTTCATAACACTTAAAAGTCCAAGCAAAGATTGATTCCAGGTGGGCCCTTAACCGTTTCAGACAAGGGATGGACTAAGAACCACATAGCTATAGTTTTGGAATTTGCAACACGGAGTAGAATCAGGTATTGTGCATATCTCATCTACCAATTAGAGATTTTATAAATGATCTCTTTGTTCAGAACTTTTTGTTATAACAGGAATTTTTACCCAGAATCATTTACCCAGTTCTGTTAGAAAGTTGGTTGGCCCAACAAATAACTTTTTTTACTCATATTGAGCCACATTTATACAACAATACTTTTGAGAACAAACACTTTTAAGACAGGCAACCACCAAACAGAGTAATACATTGATCAAGACAGGCGAGATCATAGTGTTGAGGCTGGAGTGGAAGATAGAGACACCTGATTACAGTCTACGGAAAGGAGCAGGTACAGTGCCTAAGTGCACAAGCTTTGAAGTTGATCATATATGTCCTCAAACTTCAGTGCCACAAGCTATGCAATCTTGGGTAAGTTATGTACCCTCTCTTGAGCTCCTTCTTATGTAAAAAGGGAAGATTGACAACAATAAATGAAACCATTTAATCCTATTAACAGCTGTCAGGCCCATGATATGTATACACACTTTAACAGCTGATAACTCACTTAATTTTCACTCCTTTTCAGGTTTAACTGATTTGAAACAATAGGTGAAGCTATACTAAGCTTTTAACAAAGAAAATTTAGCCACTAAACTTTTTTTTTTTTTGTATCCTCACCCGAGGACATTTTTCCATTTTTTGTTCAAACAGAGTGGGAGGGAGAGAGGGGAAGAGAGAGAGAGAGAAACATCAACATGAAAGGGACACATTGAGTGACTGCCACCCACACAACCAACCAGGGCTAGGGACAAACTGCAAACGAGGTACATGCCCCTAGCAGAAACTGAACCCGGGTCTCTCTGGACCGCAGGCCGATGCTCCAACCGCTGAGCCAAATCGGCCAGGGCTAGCCACTAAACTTTTTTATGGAGATACATAAAAGATAAAGTTTACAGTGCAAAACAGTGGAGGAATTGAAGGCAGATGTTGAAAGAAAATGCACACAAATGCTAACTGAAATATTTCTTGATGTTTGCGATTCCATCGCTTCTCATTATCAACAGTGCCTGGATCAGAATGGCCATCAGCTTGAAAACAGGCATTGACAAAATAATTTATTTATTTCTGTAGGTTCTTTTAAATTTTGAAAAATAACTGGATGTTAATAAACACTGATTTTATAATCATGCAAATTGTGTATACATTTTGGGCCACTCTGAATACTCGTATATAGTAGAGAATGACACTTGGCAAATAAGTATCCAAATAGTAGTTGTCCTAACTGGTAATGAATGCTATGATCTGGACACCGTGGGATGCTATAGGTATACGTGGGAGGGTACTCACAGCTTCAGGTAGCAAGGGAAACTTCCTGTAGGAGCCTTCTAAATCAAGACCGTCCCCACCCCACCCCCAAAAAAGAGTGTGATTTAGCCAAGGTAAGGAGGAAAGTCAGGAAGGCTGTCCAGAGGCCAAATGTTTATGTAGGGTGTATTTAAAGAGAAAGATTGTGTCAGGGATAATTACCCTCTTATTCTAGAGCTGCTTAGTCTCTTGTCTTATATCAGTTTTGTGCCTCTGCTCCATTCTTTTTCCTTAGAACCAGTTTCATCATGATTACTGCTCCCCAAAACTTCAACTTACATTAGGCTTTAGCTCGTTTTAGGTGCTAAACAGGGAAAATGAATCTTGAAGCTCCACTGCCCACCATTGCTTTGGAGATTCTGTTTCTATATTTTAGTTCAGATTTACATGAGAAATGTTGATCATCTAAATCCAGATTATGGATTGGTTTCTACTTGTATCAGGTCCTCCAACCCCAACCAGCCAACAGATGGGACCAGATAAAATGTATCTCTTCTAAAGTCTACCCCTTTCAGCAGAGTAGAGTAGAGAGGACATTTAAATAAAGGACAGAGTATGTGTGGAAGTCAATGATAGGGTTATCTAGTGTCCTGCCATTCAAAGTATGGTTCCCAGATCACCAAACTGGCATTGCCTGGTAACTTGTTAGAAATGCAGAGCTTCAGTCTTCACCCCAGATCTGCTGAATCATAATCTGCATTTTAGTATGATCCCCAGGGGATTTGTATGCACTTTGAAGTTTGAAAAGCACTTGTTTCATACATCTCTATTTTTACAAATTGGGCAACAGGTCATATGGATGACCCTTCCAAATACCATAGCTCTATTTTTTTTTTTTTCTTCAGCCACTCATTGCAACATTCTAGACTTTCTCATTATCCAGAATTGCACCATGCTGGAAATTTGTCCAGAGAGACCATTTGGTATGCCTTGTCCTCCAATCCTTCCAGTTTACTCACCCTCTCACTCTTATCAATCCTTTGACAACTTCAATGTCTCTGCTTCTTTGGTGTCTTTACTTTCTCCCCATGGATCTACTCCCACTTTCACTTTCTTCCAACTTAGACCCTGTGCTCTAGCACTGCAATTGCTTTTGTGACAATATCCTCTTCCCTTGTTTTCTTTATTTTATCATACTTTTGCACAAAGTCCACTAAGATATTAATCTGTTTCCTCAACACCTGTCACCAGGTGTCTAGTGCAACTGGAGGGAAGAAAATCATTCATGTCCCTGATTAGAGTAATTTTAAATTCAGGGCAGCCAACCTCAACTGTGCCTTAAAACCAGCTGGAAATTTTGTGTTGCCTGGGCAACACTCCCTTACCCTCAGCAGGTGACTCAGTCACCTACTTCACAGGGAAGAAACCAAACCACCAGATGGGAATTCCCTCACCTCCCCAGCAAACCTACATATTCACCCATGCCCACCCTCATTCATTTCTCTTTCCCTCCAATTAGAATGGGAAAGATGCTTGCCCATCTCTCATGTTTTCATCCCATTGCATCCCACTATCACAGGGGTCTCACTATTATGATTATATTTTTTTCTATAGAAAGCATTTAAACATGCTCAGTTAAAAAAACAAAAGTAAAAAACTTGCATTAAGTTCATGTCTCCCTCTGGTTACCACCCTCTCTTTCTCCCTGTCTTCTGTGGAACTCTTGGTTGTCTACATAGACATCTTTCTCCTCTCCTCTTTCCTTGAAAGCAGAGCCTACCTCCCAGTATAAAGGGGGGAAATGCCAGATGTTCACTTGCTGAAACTCCTTGTAGTTGGGGGAGGGGGTGTGAGTGTTAAAGCCAAGGAGTCATTAAGGCATGTCTGTTGGATCCTTTCAGGAAGGTTTGCTTCCTAATAACAAGGATAGAGGCACATGAGGAGATCTATCTCTCTGGACGTTGTCATGAGGACGGGATATTTGGGGATGCTTTTACCATTTTATGACCACAAAGGGCACCCAAGTGCATCCCCAGAGAAGCCAACTAAAGTCTAAACCTATGAACCACCTGTTTCTGGGCTGTTTCTTAAATATGTATATTTAAGAACATAGGTGTCATGAAAACCACCACTAAATCAAACCCAAAATGAGAAAAAAGACTCATATCAACATGATCATCATTGGACACGTAGAATCCGGCAAGCCTACCCTTACTGGCCATCTGATCTACAAATGTGGTAGGATCGACAAAAGAACCATTGAAACATTTGAAAAGGAGGCTGCTGAGATGGGGAGGTTCCTTCAAGTATGCCTGGGTTTTGGATAAACTGAAAGCTGAATGTGAGTGCGGTATCACCATTGATATCTCCCTGTGGAAATTCGAGACCAGCAAGTATTATGTGATCATCAGTGATGCCCAAGGACACAGAGACCTCATCAAACACTTCTCAGGCTGACTGTGCTGTCCTGATAGTTGCTGCTGGTGTTGGTGAATTTGAAGCAGGCATCTCCAAGAATGGGCAGACCTGTGAGCATGCCCTTCTGGCTCACACTACACACTGGGTGTAAAACAACTGATTATTGGTGTTAACAAAATGGATACCACTGAGCCTACAGCCAGAAGAGATACGAGGAAATCATTAAAGAAGTCAGCACCTATATTAAGAAAATTTGCTACAACCCTGACACAGTAGCATTTGTGCCTATTTCTGGTTGGAATGGTGACAGTATGCTGGAGCCAAGTGCTAATAGGCCTTGGTTCGAGGGATGAAGAGTCACCCGTAAAGATGCCAATGCCAGTGGAACCACACTGCTTGAAGCTCTGGATTGCATCCTACCACCAACTCGTCCAACTGACAAGCCCCTGTGTCTGCCCCTTCAGGATGTCTACAAAATTAGTGGCATTGGTACTGTCCCTGTAGGCAGAA